GCTCTGTGATACTGTTAGACAATCACGCACCTTCACTCATTCTTCACGCAGGAATTTCTTGATAAATACACACATGTTTAGCTAAAATGCCATGTATCTCTAGGTAGAGGGAAGATAGAGAAAAAGAGACGATCTATGTCGAATCCCTTTTTCGTAGGCTTTCTAATGGTATATAGTTTGTTGGGTGAAAAAACTTGTGGCTTTTCAAAAATGAGGTGGAGATATTTAATACTAACTTGCTCCACCCCGCTCCGGCTTTCTATGGGTCGCCGGAGGAAGACTTTTTTGGACTGGGAAAACTTTGTGCACCAACAATATACATACCATTCGATAGCTAAGAACACGAGGAATCGACGTAGACCGTCTCTTTTTTCCTCGCTTTTCTGTGAAGCGAGATACGAGCAGTTTTATCTAGCTACAATATCAGCCAATTCTGGGTAATTATCTTTTCAAAACAAGAAAGTCTTTTTCGAACTTTTATATATGATTCGAAAGCTTGAGAAACAAGTAATCTAACTGCTTTTTTATTTGTTATCATTCAAGTGAAAGGAGATATGATACGATTATTGTCAGTAAACATGCATCCATGCTAGCCAATCCAGATTTCCTACTCTTTCTCAACTCTTTCTTGCGATAGTGTGTATTCATTGATACAATGTTAATTATTCAAAGAATCGGACACCCTTTTGATTTTTATTTTTGATTATGTTTCGTTAACAATCACTTTCAGTGCGCAGAGGGTCTCAAGCATGCGTTTTTTCAACAAACGCTGTTGCTTCGATACTCTCTTGCAGTCTTGATGTCTGAGGAGAAGAGCATCTGGCTTTTCCTTTTCAAACAAAGTGCCGTTGTAACAGCTGTTTGGTTCTCCCGCTATACCTTGATTCTAGTCTCATCCTCAGGTGAAAGGGGTCAGCCAGATTCCGGCCCTAAAGTGAAGGGGGTCAGAGATTTCTCCACCTATCGTATCTATGCTTAGCACGCGATCTTTCGCGGGCTCTAGAATTTTGCAATATCTGGCTTTAACTTGGAAGTCAATTTAACTCAATCAGTATATTGAAAAATGACTGACGTTTGCTTAAATATGTAGTGTGTAATCCCTGTTTGTATAGTATGTAATCCCTGTTTGTATATAGAAAGTTGTTTTGCTTGTTCTGTGAATACTATCGATGAACTCCTCTGTGCAGAACCAATGAAGATAGAACTTTTCCCCATGATTGAAGCACGACGAGTGTTTGAGCCATTTTCTCGGCAGTCCGTTAAAGGCAGTGTCCGGGCAAAAACTCGATTTTAGGATTTTGTGCTTACGTGGACCTACTCGCTATGCTGAATTCGAAAACCTACACTGTAGAGCGCAAAAGCAGCGAAAAAGCTCTCTAACACAGGAGGGATATTACAGGTGGGCGAGGTCCTCCACCGTGAATTCACACTCCCAGCTTCCGGAACGATCTTGCTGGTTCCGATTTCAAGTCACGCGTTCGCACTTGCCGGTGGCGATAGCAGGAAGGCTACCGGAATTGAGAAGATCGCTCCGGAAGCCGAGAGCATGAATTCACCGTGGGGAAGGCCCCGCCCTTGATATCCCTCCTGCTTAGAGCCCTTTTTTCCCGTTTTCGCAATTTATGTTACTCAAAATTACGAGATTGAAACTCATTTTTTGAAGGTATTTTTGGCTATCTGAATAAACTGCATTTCAATAGTGGAACGCAAGTCTGTAATTATCACGGAGAACAAAATCACAAATCAACATTTAGTGGGAAGTATTGAATTCTGTTGAAGTCACGTAAGATTTCTCGATCCACCCAATGCATAGAGCATTCTATCAATATTCCTCCTTTTTATCATATTTTGTAAAGGTAAAAGTTCTGAAGGCTTCTAGTGTACTTGACATCTTATTCTTTTTGATTTTGTGTTTTCAGTGCTAACAAAAGGAGGAATCTATAAATAGTACCAGAGTTAGACAAACTACATAGTTCCTGTAACTGAAATGAAAGCAAGAAGACAAAACCTACCGTGTACGACAGAGGCCAAATGCACTATCCTTTGAGGTAGGCGGTGTATATATGTATGATTTAAGTGCGCATATTCCCGCGTTAAATAAGCAGCAATAAGAATATTGAGGAATTGTTAATGTCTAAACATCAAAATGGTTGTTTAATTACAGCGGCAACAATGATATCAAAATTAAATGTTCATATCATACGTGGCAAAGATGGCAAAGCAGATTCGGTTCGATACTCGTCAGCGTCCTTGTGATTTGACGCTTGCTTTCAAATGCTTTCGTCCCAGGAAAAAGTGAACTCACTGTTTGGAATTTTGATTTTGTCACTTTGTAACAGATGTCCAAGCTTAAAACAAGACGACGTCAGGGGCTTCTTTATGAATGTTAGGTTGGCAAACGTTAGTCTTGCAAGTAGTTTCATAACTCTCCATTTTTTTGATATCGTCCACTCATTTTTTGATAAAGGCAATGTAGATTAGTTGATGAGCTACAAATGTACATAAACTGTCTGATTTTTGGTGGCAAAGCGGAAAAAGTTCAAGCCTTTCCCGAAAACATACTAAACTAGCAAAAAGAAAATAGGCCGCGTAGCTTGATGGATTTGATTCAACAGCTTGAATCAAATCCAAGCATCAAGCCGAAACTACACCCAGATCGCTAGTCCATCTAGCAACCTCAAAGTTTTTCAACTCTGTGAAATTCTAATTTGACCAGCTTTAGGGAGATACGTTCATCTCCATTTCGCCACGAAACAATTTGCCCAGATCGTAGCTTAATCAACATATCAAAAGGTGAGCGCACCACATTCAAGAGCAAAAGTTACAAAATTAGTAGCAAAACTTACGTGCCAAAACAGTATGCCTTGGCGGTGGTCAACATCTTACTTGGGGCCAAGTAAACATAAAGCTTCCGCACTGCATCAGGTCAGCATACGAGCAGTGCGCAAGCCAGATTATCGTTGTCGCACCGCAGTCCTTCTTGAGGAGTAGGTGATGTTGACGGACAGTCTAATAGATTTTCCGCTCATCATAGTGCGCTTGCTGTGCCGGGAGAATGCGGTAAAATTTGTATGTGAACAAGTAGATATTAGCTATGCTTGTGACGTCAGCCACTTGCGCGCGCAAAATATACCGACAATACTGGTTGGCCATTTGTTCATGCACAAATTTTTCCCCGTTTTCTTGTCACCGCAGGCACAGTATATTTAGCGAAAGGTCTGCTCGATTGTACGCGAATGTCGAAGGCGTTTGGTATCGACGGGTACTCGTGCAATTGCCGCTCACTAATTACAGTTAGGCAAAGATGAATCTGTATAAGATGCAACATTACATGTGAAGCGCAAGAGAATAAGGGATGTGCGGTAGGACCTCAAGACTATTTTGTAAAAACATAAAACAGTGAAAAACCTTCGTTCGATATACATTGGACATTTGCAGCAAAACGTTGAACAGTCTGTCATTTTGAGACCATCGTGCCGAGGGTCGTAGTCTTCCCTGAAGAAGTCGCGGAGTCTACCAGTCACCTTCAAGTCAAATCTAACTGGGCAGTTATACTCGTACGGTATAACTGCCCAGTTAGATTTCCTTAGCAGTGCTATGCAAATCTGAGATGATGAGAGCTTCAACGTTTTACTGCAAATGTCCAATGTATAGTGAGTACCCTATTTTCAGGTGTATAAGCCGCACCCTTTTTGCTCTGAGCGCGAGCAGATCCAGGCGTGCCGCCGCGCATATGTCTCGCAAAGCGGTCGCCTTATCGCATACTGCTCTCACTTAACGCGCTCCATGATGCCAGTCAGTCTTTTGGTGTGTTCGCCTTTAGAGCGAAAAGGGTGCGGCTTATACACCTGAAAATAGTGTAAAAGTATTTTTCACTTGTAGTTTTTTAAAAAATTCCTTATGAGCCAGCTTTATGTGGAACAAATCATAAAGTAGATTTTGCCATTTTTGCCCGTGGAATTTGACATTTTTGGGGTCAGTATGTATAGGGGCCTGCAGGATCGCGAGAGTCGGACGTGCGTACGGCCATTGCGCCGCGCACGTCGTATGTCACTGGGTCGTACTCGATTTAGGCTGGATAGGTAAGATTTTTTTGTTTTTCCTCTCATTTCTCGCCTTCTTTTCCTTTCAGGCGGCGAACATATGTTGGTGCAGAGGAGTTTAAGATCTAGATTAAGGTGAGGTGCAGGATTATGCTCAATACGGGCCAATATTGTGGACTTTTCACCCTTGCTTTGAAGAATGTTGAGTTTTCTGTTCTGGCTGTCCGATTATGTTCGATTTTTCGTCCTGCCTGCCCGGTTACCAAACTCCGTTTTATTTGCAACGACTGTTCTACCTCATCTTGCATCATGCGTGTCATCACAATCATAATCATTGTCATCATCATCATCATCATCACAAGCAATATGCAAGATAAGGTAGAATAGACGGTAGAAATAGATCAGTTTGCTGTAACAGGGCAGCCAGGACAGAAAATCCAACATCTCAACCAGCAGGCATGGAAGGTCTGCAATATTGAGTCCGTATTGAGCATATTCCTGCACCTCACCTTAATTCAGATCTTAAACTCCTCCGCACCAACACGTGCTCACCGTCTGAAAAGAAAAGAAGGCGTGAAATGTAAAGAAAAACAAAAAAAACTTACCTATCTAGCCTTAATCGACTACGACCCAGCAATATCAGGCGTGCGCGGCGCAAAGGCCGTACGCGCGTCCGACTCTCGCGATCCTGCAGGCCCCTATACTTCAATCAGACTGAATGGACATGGGCTAGACACGTGCAAAATAAGGTGGACCTGTATGCAGTAAACATGATTTTTGTATTTGCAATCAATTTCCATCATTCGACGATATCCCATAATAGTACGAAACATTTACACATTGCATACGGTAAGTGCGGTTCTTCCTCGTAATACAAGGACGAGATTGACATTCGTTTCATGTAATAGTGGAAGATATACAGCACTGACTATGAAAATGCGCTTGGCTGTGTTTATTATGGCAATGCTTTTAGCAACACTAAGTAAGAAGGGAAATAAAATCACAAAAAAGCCAACAAACACCGGCAAAGGTAAGCTTCGTTTTTCCGAGCTCAGAAATTCTTTAGATATTCCGCATCAACTTTTCTAAAGTTGGTGTGATTACAAAAACCGCCACAGAAGATATAAGCTTGAAGACTATTTGAAATCATGAGATCAAAAGCGCGCTAAAGCAGGTCTGGCAGGTTGTCACCAAAAACTTGAGGAGATTACATTTCTGACAGAAGTGGCGTTGATTATCGAAAAATAACGGGAGAGTGAACGGAAATATGGACTGTGTCAGTTGTAAATGGTCGCTTCTAAGATGCTTGTCAAACAACTCTTAGTCTCCATGATTTGCGTCAGATTTAGAAATTGTGGCATAATAGGTTGAAACTCCAAGCAATGACAGGCTTTTACTCGAGCCATCTTTTGACAAAGATTTCATGCATTATTGAGCCAGGGACGGTCGGCCAAAAAATATGATGACGATCTACGCATACGCTTCGCTTTGAATACTGACACTATTGGACCACCGAATCAGCACTTCTAGATCGGAAAAAATGATTATCTTCACAATATATTGAGCAACTGAAAAATGTGGTGTGTCGGCGGTATGAATGAGCATGTATATGGAATCAAAGACTCTAAGCATTTCGGAATTGAAGAAACCAGGTGCCCAATTTTCACGTAAGATCTAGTTCCGGAAGAAAAAATTTTATAAGGAGCACTCCTCAAGGCAGCACTCACGGCCAATTCCACATCCGTCGCAAGCTTTTTGATCCGCCATCACAATGCAGGGAGTCAAATCTTTGTTGGACTGTGTAAGATAAGAATATCTCATGCTTGTGTCTACGTGCATATTCTGCTCATGGTACGCAATAATTCGAAAAAGGGCTATTCCAATATACGCCTCAAAAATTCAAAATCTCGAATTCCGCTGAAACATTGCACACAGGGGTAACTAGACATGCTGATAAATGTTAAATACTCATTTCGCATGAAAGATGCTTTTTTGCGGAGTTATGGTAGGTATAGGGTGGCGGGCAAGGTTCTCGGATTGGCAAAATTTCTAGGGGTTTATTCGACATGCTGATAGCGAATATGACATTTTCCTTACGAAAACATCTTTTCGCATGACTACTGTAGGTGTACGGTAGGGGGTCAAAACCACAGACCTTCCTGGAACATCGCCAAGGTGGGGGGGGGGGGAGGGAGGGTATCTAGCATGCTGAACATGTGTACCATACTAACTCTGCAAGGTAATGCCATTTCCTTGGTTTACGATGGGTATAGGTTAAGTGGGTCGAAATTCCCGATTTGCTCAAAACCGCCACCGAGGTTTTCAAACATGCTGATTACGAATAGTGCTGCTTGCTATAGTAACGCAGTATTTGGAGTCAAGGTAATTTGTACAACAAAAAATAATTGCCTTTTCCGCTTCAGGCCAATCTAAACCCCAAAATAATCCACGAAAAAGATTTATCTTGCAAAACGAGAGCGATATTCGTCACATCAGATAACTCCCTGAACAAATTTCACGCGGAACAATTCTGATTCCTGCCATATAACTACCGTAACCCTATGAGAAGTCTCAGAGCGCAAGAATACTTCAATATTCGTGATCAGCATGTCAAGTCAGTCAAATCGAGGTTTTGATTAACTCCCTACCCTGACCTAAGTACTAGGGACGTTTTCGTACGAAAAAAGAAGGCCTACAAGCAAAGTGAATATCCCTCTGTGAGCGAGATCCGAGATTTCGAACTTTGGGTTTTGTATTCTGACAGTACCATCTGAGCTAACTGAACACTATCTATAACAATTTTGACAGAGAAAACCCGATGATAAAGAAAGGAAAAAAGTATCGTTAGAAAATATTTTCTGCAACACATAATCTCTCGTGCCATTGAACACTGCTGACACCGTATAATCGATGGTTTCAACCAACCAGGTAATTAATCTTTCAGGTAACACGCTTCCGAAGATCACTAAAGCCAATTATGCTTCCATTCTGAAAAACGTTGCATCCAAGTCGGAGTTAAAGGGAGAACCGTTCGACGCTGCCGAATCTGAACTTACCGAGAAGGAGGTCGAGGAGCTCTTTCGCGGTAAAAAAACGGTTCGCATGTGTATACGAATAGCAGAAACGAATTATGCAAAGCTCGATCTGAGCTCAGTACAGAAAATCATAGTTTCAGGCTGTAAGAATAAGGGCGAAGGTTCGTGTTTATGGTATTAAACGCGCCACAATAAATTATATTTCAGACATTCCCGCTCTGGTTGTAGAAGATAATCAACTTTTGAAGAAATTCTTCTTGTCTCCAAAACTTGTTGTTGAGTATGGATCAGGGAATTTGCCCATGATGCGAATACAAAGGAACAGAGACCTTGAGAACATTGATATGCTCAAATATGCATTCAAAAACAAAAATGCGTTGATTTTAGAAGACGGAGGTGAGAATGTTCATTACTGCACATCAAGCATGTTCACGACTGAACGCAGGGTTTGTGGCAGACACGACTAGAAAAGATAATTAGTCAAAAGTGAGCATGCGCTTCCCATTCTGAGATTTATTCAATCGGTTTTTGCAATCACATATCTATCATAGCGCAGGAGAAGATCATTTCGGAATTCTTGTAAAATAGACTGTCGCAAATTGATGCTCTTTTCAAAGGCAGTGTCCGGGCAATGACTCGACTTCTGGAAAATTCATTACCTGGGGTTTTTCGCAGGCTGAATCCAAAGATCCACATTAGAAGGCGCGAAAATGGGGACATGCGTTTTTCGAAGCCTTACAATTTAAAATAGTACGGTTACCGCCAAAGCTGAGACGCAGAGTCGCTGCGAGATCCTACGGTTTAACCGTGGCGGCATGCGTACTGCCGCGCGCGTTCCTTTATACTCGATCCGTGCCGCCCGCGCACCTGCAATTATCACATGCTGTAAGCGCAAGGAATAGCCGCGTAGTGTGCGACGCAGTGGTAAGGCTGCCTCATCAATCAAGAGGTTAGGTATCACATCTTACGAGGGAAGGATACTTGGTGACCGTGACCTTTTGCAATGAGATGTATACCAGAAGGTGCGCCTTGGAACGCTGATTCTAAATCTATGTTCATTGCCTGCTGTGAGACTCCCTGAACGAAGTTATGGACTTTTCTCCATATTGATTTCGCGAGATTTAGGCAGTCAAAATCGTCAGTATCCCAGCTTTTTGGATTCTTATGTATCGGTGATGGTTTTCCTGAGCTTAACGTAAAGCTTTACTCTATCTGTACGCTTTTTGGTAGTGCGTAAGCGAACATTCCAACGATATTGGTGAATCCTGCATCACAAACAGAGCAAATTTTGGTGACAAGAAATGTTCATAACTTCTTTCGGAAGAGTGCACAGCACATAACGAAAACAGATTTGGAATCAGCGCTTCAAGATGCATTTAATGGTGTTCGTTTCATTTCGAAAGGCCACGGTCACCAAGTATCCTTTCCTTGTTAGTGTATGATTCGGAGAAACAGAAGTTGTCTTTTGCTTCCAAATGTTAACCTTCGGTAGCATTGCGAATGGGTGCTGAGCTTGAATTTTTGGATCCAAATACGAAGTCATATTTTTTTGGCGTAAGTGTAGAGTTGATTATCAAGATGTGCAGCATACAGCGTAACGAAGAACTGGGAAATGGCAGCCATCCGCGGACCAGCAGCAGCGGCGCGGCATCCAATGTCCCGCCACCCGCGCACTAGATGTTGCGCCAACGTGTGACTGCAAGCGCGCTGCCCGCTCCAAGTGCCTGAGCAGGCGGTTAGTTTCCCAGCTATATTTCTTGCTTGTGGTCAAACGTCATGGGTTCGCACTTGCGCGATGGTATGTCCGAGGGGCCCTCTTTCACACCATATTGAAGTCGCAAAACCTCCATCTTTCCGGACGCTGGTTTTAAGTGCTAACGTAAGGGTTTATTAGGCAACTCAGACTAAGAATTGTGTGGCAGAAGATGGTCAAGAAAGTTTGTTACGGAGTATAGTTGGCAGCACGGAATCGCCCGATTGAACGCCCGCGCGCGTGTCTCTGGTGGGCTAACATTGGCATTTGCGCATGAGTCATCATAGCGCCTGTACATGGCATTCGCGTTGCAGGCAGCTCGCGAGCGTTCAGTCTACAGCGACCCGGGCGATTTGGTGCAGTCGAGTTTACCATGAGATTGAAAGATAATGGAACTCAGTATGAAAAGGGTTTCTTGGTGCTGGTACTATACTGATCGTACTGACAAGGGAATGGTCAGAAGTCGAAGTGGCCAAACCAGAGAAGCTGTATATCATTCGATGCAGTATAAAACGCTGACTTCGAATCTGTCTTCCTTATCTGCTTCCCGCTTTTGTGGACGAAGCTACAAGGGGTTTTATTGTGAAATAATCATACATAAAAACAGCAAAACTGAGCACATTATTGCGCTTTTAGCTTAGCTTCTGGCTTTAAATTTTAAGTAAGCTAGCTGCATGTTTTGGCCCAGCATTGAGGCGAACGTGGCTCTATACGGCTAAATTTTCAATTTCACGCATAATTTCTTAGCCAAATAACGGTCTTTAATGGCTTATAGCTTCGTCCAGAAAAGCGATAAGCAGGTAAGGAAGACAGATTTAGAGTCAGCGCTTCATGCTGCATCTAACGGTATGCAGCTTGTCTGGAATGGCCACTTCGATTTTTGACCATTCCCTTGTGAGCATGAGTACGAATTGAGTGTGCAGTGAGACCTTACATAGGGTATCACCCAACAAAGGGAAAGGGATTGGATGGAAGCAAAACTCAAACAAAATCAGATAATGACCGTAAACTGATATCTGCGCTAATTGCCGTACTTCAAACATCTAGGTGGTATTTAATAATTACTGAACCCAAAATGACAATGTAGCAAACTTCTAGATTCAATTTTATCAAGAATAGCAAACATCACGGCGTCTCAACCATGTTACTTTCAGAATGTCACATCACAAAAGAGTTGACAACATTCAACGGAATTACGAACTGTAAAATAATCAGTGGCAATATAACTATTTCAAGCTCGATCGAGAATCCGCCAGCAAATTTCCGACTGCAGAAAATTAGTGGCTGCTTGAGAATAGATGGTACAAACATCACTAATATAGATTTCCTATCAGATGTGACCTATGGTCAAGTAACATGCACTCGAGGAAAGCACGGTAGGTTCTTGGCGAAAAATAGGCCATGCTTTTGTATCTCTTGTGTCCATTGATCTTATATATAAAGCTGAATGTCTGTTTGTATGTATGTATGTATGTATGTATGTATGTCTGTATGTCTGTCTGTGTGTACGTATGTTCCGAATAGAAAATTCCATTTCTGAACCGATCCGGACCAAACTTGGCACACATACACTTCGGGCCCCGGCGCGTGTCATAGGCTACTTTTCGTCATCGATCGATATCGATTTTATCGATTTTTATCGATTTTTTTGCTGAGTTCACCTACGGGGCTGGGAGTTGGCACAGGGGGGTAATCGAGCATGGGGATTCCGAATACAATATTGGTTTTCAGGATTATCGATTACTTTTATCGATTTTATCGATTTTTTTGCAAATTTTGAGCTACGGGGCTGGGAGTTGGCACAGGGGGGTAATCGAGCATGGGGATTCCGAATACAATATTGGTTTTCAGGATTATCGATTACTTTTATCGATTTTATCGATTTTTTTGCAAAGTTTGAGCTACGGGGCTGGGAGTTCGCACAGGGGGGTAATCGAGCATGGGGATTCCGAATACAATATTGGTTTTCAGGATTATCGATTACTTTTATCGATTTTATCGATTTTTTTGCAAAGTTTGAGCTAGGGGGCTGGGAGTTGGCACAGGGGGGTAATCGAGCATGCTGATCATCCCCAAGGGGGGTGATCAGCATGCTCGAACACCCCTGTGCCAAATTCCAGCCCCCTAGCTCAAATTTTCAAAAAATCGATAAAATCGATAAAAGTAATGGACGATCTTGAAAACTAATATTGTATTCGTAATCTGCATGCTCGATTACCCTCTGTGCAAACTCCCAGCCCCGCAGGTCAAACTTTGCAAAATCGATAAAATCGATAAAAGTAATGGACGATCCTGAAAACTAATATTGTGTTCGTGATCAGCATGCTCGATTACCCCCCTGTGCAAAATCCCAGCCTCGCATGTCAAAATTTACAAAAAATCGATAAAATCAATAAAAGCAATCGATAATTCTGAAAACTAATATTGTATTCGGAATCCCCATGCTCACTTCCCCCCTGTGCCAACTCCTAGCCCTGTAGGTGAACTCTGCCAAAAAATCGATAAAAATCGGTAAAATCGACATCGATCGATAACGAAAAGTGGACTGTGACACCCGCCGGGGCCCGAAGTGTATGTGTGCCAAGTTTGGTCCGGATACGGCGGAGCCGGGTAAGCCAGCTAGTATTTCATAAGTACAATGTTCTAGTAGATTTTTAACATTGCAAAAATATTGTTCATAGCTAATTTCTAGAAATTCACAATAACAAGAAACTTTGTGTTAAGAAAAATCTCCTTAGCAATGACAAACTTGACTTTCAAAATAATATGGATCCAATATGTAGTACGTTAAATTTCATTCTCATCGCTATTATGAATTGTATAGCTCAAAATTTCCAGATAGCGCATGTCGGGCCCGTCCAATTACTTCAGAGACTATCAGTAGTTTTCAAAACTGCAAGAAAATCTTGGGAAACTTGGAGATTATAGGATGGCCAGGTTATTTTTGAACAAAAGAGCATGAAGAACACTAGTATTCATGGGTTTCAGAAGACGTATCCCAGCTTCAGCAAGCATTTGGTAACGTCGAGGAAATTCATGGACAGTTGTTGATTACTAACACATCTATCAAATCGACCGCAGACATTTTTAAGTCACTACGAGTTGTCGAAAACCACGGTCCAACGGGTAGTCGGTCTCAAATTCACAATTTTGGACGTACACGACTCTTTCAGGAGCTGTTATCATCAAGGATAATTCAAATCTGGAATTAATTCAGATAGATTCTTTAGAAAGCATTCATTCTGATCAGAAAACAGCAGTCATCATCCAACAGCCAAAAGCGATTATCACATCGGTAAGACAGCTCCAGTGATGACTTCTACCTGGACTATTACTCCAGCCCAAATCGGTGCATACTGAGATTTGACCAGAGTTTTGAGGAAAATTATTCACTTTGTGGGACAAAAAATATAATAAACATACCGAATATTTCAATCGCTTACTTCCTCAGAAAGGACACATTGCTACTTGCTTAACGTTCAAAAAACAATGGATTGATCTGATTTCACCTGAAAAACTGAAAGCGTATCCCTGCTATCGCCTCACACAGTAATTTGCGACTCTGTTGAAAACAATGTTTCCTTTTTGCAGAAAACAAGCTACAGGTTGCGCGTTTCCACCTCAGGAAAGGTAGAACTAAAAGCCATGGTTTCTAATCCGGATGAAGGAGGTATGGTACCCTACTTTGTTTCTAACACATTGAACGTATGATAGACTAGCTGGCTTCTATGGAGGGCTCGGCACGAGCTGACACTAGGGAAATTTTCAAAACGAAGTCCCCTCTGGTCTTGAAAATTTCGCACGAATTCCTCTTTGACCCTGAACTCTAAATGTAAAAACCCTAAAAAACGAAACGCGGACTCAAAAAAAAGAAAAAAACGTCGCAACTTTGTGTCTTCTCGGCCACAAAAAATCCATTTACTTTTTGTCGCAAAAACGATGCGCAGCTTCGCCCGGTGCCAACTGTGCCCAGCCCTGTTCATAGTACCCGGTAACTGAATTGGTCAACACACAACGGAGGCTTTAACATACTAACATACAAGCATACTTAAGAATTTCGAGTTTTACATATGTAGAAATTGAGGTAATCACATTATGGGCATATTTTACCGTACCGCCGCAGTAAAAATAGCTTCTCACAAATAAATTTTACAAATGTGACCTGTCTAATTTTCATCAAAATTTACTTGGGATGACAACTAGCTTCACCTTACAAAACTTGAATTTGCTAGAACTAATAGCCCTATGTAAGACTGACCTGTTAAATTGAAGCTCAGTAAACCAGTCATTTTAAGGACTGATTGTTCTGTACGTCCTCTATGCAGTTATTCTTCTCATTGTTAACATTTTCCTCATCGCTGGGTTCGTATACATAATATTTGTACAGGTACATATTTCTATTAGGTTGTCCGGAAATTAATGCCCGTTTTGAATTTCAACCGCAATAAGTAATACACCTCTCACTTCTAAATAGGATGCAGAGTACCATTCGATAGAGTAAAGCAAGCTCTACAAAAACGCCATATTGCTTTTGCAACAGCTTTCATCCACCTCGAGTTTCAAGCCAACTAAAAAGACTCAGCAGCCCGAAAAGTCGAAAAAAATCGTAACTCAGTTTACAAAAATCCTACAAAAATTCTTACTTGCTCATGTAAACACTATTCACATAAGACATCTATATACGCCTTTGCCGTATTTTTTTCTCTGCTAGAAATCAAGAAAACGGAAATTTTCGCGCATTTGCCATTTGCCGTGTTGTGCCGTCCTCACATAGATAGTTGTATACTACAAACCTGTAGAAGTGCAAACGTAAATCCTCAGCTCTCTATAAGCTTTAATTCTCAAGAAATTTGAATTTTAGCTTGGACCACCTAACTAAGGAAAGCTATATTCGGTATTTCTCGAGAACTAAAGCTTGTAGAGAGCTGAAAATTTAAGTCTGTACTTCTGCAGGCTTGTGGTATACAATTACCTATGTGGGGACGGCACAGCATCACTTTGGCAAATGCACGAAAATTTCCGTTTTCTTGGTTTCTAACGGAGGGAAAAATGACAAAGGCGTATATAGATGTTTTATATGGATAGTCTTTACGTGAGCAAGTAAGAATTTTTGTGAACTCAGTTACGATTTTTTTCGATTTTTTGGGTTGCTGAGTCTTTTTAATTTTAGGCTCGAAATTCGAGGTGGATGAGAGCTGTTGCAAAAGCAAGATGGCCTTTCTATAGAGCTTGTTTTACTCTATCGAATGGTACTCTGCATCCTATTTAGAAGTGAGAGGTGTATGACTTATTGCTGTTGAAATTCAAAACGGGCATTAATTTCCGGACAACCTAATATTATGTTTTTTTTGTTGAGATAAGGTTAACATGATACAGAGAAAGAAAAAGAAGCCACAACCTCAGCCTCTCAAATTCTACACAGCAATTCAAGGAAAGTAAGATCATAATGATGAAAAATCTTGATTCACAACCTTTCAATCATTGAATAAATTTGGTTTTTGGCTGGCACGTGTATCAGATCCCGCTAATTTTTTTCTGGAAAATGTTCAAAGAAGGGTCAGCAAGTGAAATATTTTTACCTTACTGTCTTGACAATAGACTGAAGTGATTAGAGATACTGTGTTGCCAATATCTGAAAAACTTTGGTATAATTTCGTAGCTGAACCAACAATTTTGTGCGTAGATATGTTCCAACCACCTAGTTGTTCAAGTTCAAATAGTAATTAAAAAGAAGTTTATTATGAGTAGAAGATTGGTCATACAAATGTTAAAAATGTGTAAACATGCAATGGCAGTAAAGGTTAGTATCTACTTTTGCCTCGACAAATGATAATAGCAGGTTGAAAATGCGTGATGAGAAAAAGAATACTGCATTGATAAACAGGGATTAGCATGAAGTTCACTCGAAGTTCATAGATCAGAACTAACCGAACTAAGTATGTACAAAGACTATAAGTAAATCGGAGTCATAGGCCTGATGGAGGTGAAAACAAATCGGCACGGTCAACGTCGCACTAATATACATGCTGTGATTGAAGAAGCATCAAATGGCAAGTGGATGGATAATAAGCTGCCGCAATTTAAACTTCTACAACCATTTATCGGGTTTTGAGTTTTTCTCCTCTGGTTCCGGCATAGTCGGTGAACACATGGAGAAACACCAGGAAAGTGCACAAGATGATTGGTCCAATTATAGCACCCTAAATAGCAAGTTTGCATGTGGTAGACCGAGCTGTCAAAAACCAAGAACTATCCCTTTATCAATACTCTTACTCAGATCAACGGATCAGAGCGAAAGATTTATGGTTCGCAATATATGTGAATCTTTGGTGCCTGACCTCGTAATTATTGTAATGACTAAGTAATCATAAAAGAAAACCTCCAAAAGCAATGACTGGAAATGCAAATCCCATCACCAAACTCGTGGGTACCCTTCGGCTACTGTAGCCGATGGCCGCATACTCAAGCCTAAGAAAAAAGCAAGGAAGCTTACCTGAAGCCCAAGCCAGTACATGCCGCCGATAATGGACAGACCAGTCAAATATGGATGGGAGAATCTGCAATCAAAATGGATGAGGTTTGACGATAAACGAGACAAATAACAGGCTCACTTGACTTCTTTGTAGAAAGCCGTATCAGCGAACAAGCGTGGTGCAAATGACAAGACAGCAAATACTATTGCGGAAGCTAGCTCGCCTCGCACCTATAAAAGAGTCAAAAAATCAAAGCCCGGTCGGAAATCTGCTAAACTTACAAGCCACAGCTCAATTACGCCAAAGATGCAAACAATATAGGGAGGCATGAGGGGGATGGCGGCAAATAAGGCGGCGAGCACTGAAACAATTAGAAAATGATTACTACAAGACAATGTTCTAACATTGATGAACTTACTGCTAGGAACGAAAACAACGTTGAGGTCAAAAAGAGTATGAAGAAAATAGGTGTAAAGACCATAAAAGAGGGCCATCTTCGACGAAAGGACGAACACCCCCCTAAAGCATTTGATTCAAAAACAATAAAATCGATGTAGTTTATACTCACGAAATTGCCTGCTCAATAGCACCGGTCACTTCATGATTAGATGACTTAGACGGTTCTGTTTGAAGATTACTAGTTGCAGATGTAGTTGCTGGACTTTCGGACGTTTGTAGCAAATGCGGCAGGTTGCTGACCCATTCAATTGGCAGCCAGCGATCGCGAGAGGCAGACAGGAGGTAGTAAACCACTGTCAGGAACACGATCTGAAAAAAGCAGTGTATAATTTCATTTAAAAGAGAAGGAATTAAAATCCCAACTTACTGTTTCAATGACTAGGTTGATAATGTCTGTTCCAAAGTCCAGAATAAGTCCACCCAGGGAACCCAGCAGTGACGCAACTAGGGAGAGATTACCAGCCAGCAGGGACCATGCCGAACGAGCCACCTGAATTGGCTCCTCGAGAAAAATTAAAACAAGTTCCTCGTGACTGATAGTAAGGCCAACTATGGTCATGAGGAAGTAAAACAAGGTTCACTCGTTGAAAATTCGAAATAGCCCTAACCTTCGAAAAAAATTTTTTTAAAAAGTCCACGCGTAAGAACACTCTTAAAGGCACCGTCCAACCAAAATGCGGGCGATAATGTATAATAGCGGAGACCCTGACTAAGCAAATGCCCATGTTTAGCGAAAAAACCGCTGCAGAAGTAGAAGCGGTCACGATGACTCCGCTCATAAACGCGTGTGGTCGAAGATCAAAGTTCGAAACTGAGCTTCAGGGCAGACAGAAATATCGCATTTGTTGCTCATGATGAAGGGCGGGTTTATGACAAATCTGGCTACATATGAGCCCAGATCTAGACTTCTCTTCAGATCACCTACGCCAGGAGGCGGAATTATCGTGGGCGCTTCTATCTTTGGAATGGTTTTTTTGGGAATTTATCTTTTGAGACTTGGATGTTTGCTTATCAGGGGAGGAAATAGAGTCGAAATAGGCTTTCCAAATTTGATCTATAACAGTTTGAAGAGCATCGAACGATGATTCCAAAACTGTTTCTGTTTTTTTGCCAAGCGCCTATAGACGCTGAGTTATGTTTTTTGGAGCGAAGAATGACAGCAAAATCTAGATAAAGTCAATGGTTATGGTCTTTCCAGCGCTCAGATAAAGAAGTGTTGAGTATGAGTATTTTAGACAAAAGGTTTTCCATGCAAAGAGTGGTCTGATACCCAACGCTGGACCATTCTTACAATCTCGGACGACTTTGTACCAGCTGCACGTTCAATTTTTTGAGAAAAAAAATTCGAAATTCAGCATCTAGAGACGCTTGACAGATAACGAAGGCAGTTTCGGAATCAGCGTATTATGCTCTTCAGACTGGATATGATTCTTGTGAAGAGCCAATTTCGACTTCAGGTCCTCCCCTTACTAGTCAGAGCTACTGTTACACCACATCAAAATCTCGTCACCACATCTTGGGTGGACGGTGCCTTTAACATAGCCTTAGCTTCTCACGTTCGTGATGGTGTCCATGTTTTCTCTCACTATATGCGTAAGTTCCTCTTTGAGGGCATGGACATCGGTGACTTGCATGAGCTGCGATTTCCAGTCCGGGCGAACTTCTGCAGCTTTCTCCACTAAACATATCAAGTCAAGGCTAACGACCTCAAAAAGAATGGCCAAGCTCAAAAACGAAAGAGAGCAATTTCTTATGCGACATATTTCGAACATACCTGCCGGCGCGATATTTCTTTGCTCCCACATCCCGTAAAGCTTGTCGACTATCTAAATTGTGCACCTTTCTAAAGTAGAGTCAAGACTTTGTCCGTTAAGTTTATGCTAGACTTTGGCAAATTTCTGCCGTCATTGATCTTAGCGTTCACTTGCGCTTACTAGAATGTACTCACCTTTTTTACTTGTGTTTCAAGCATATCTGCTCTCTCTGTATCTTTTGGGTTAGCCAAAGCCCTTACGTTGGACGCTAACCAGCCACGACCATGTTCGTAAGCCTAGAAAACTCTACCGGATGAGCCTGGAAATTTTGTCAGAGAATGTTACCTGTTTCATGTAATCATTAATATCGATTTGATGATCTTCAAGCTTATCCTCCGTGTAATTCATTGCTGCGCCAAGCCAGTCTGGGCGAGATTGGACAACATTTGTAGCGAGCTGGGCAAGGTGAGCCTGAATGCCTACACTCTTGACTGAAAGTATACTCAGTCACATTACAAAGTTATATAAAATGTCAACTGAGAAATTACTTGATTATAAAAAGAAACTCTCAATCACTTATTTACATGCAGCTGCTATGCAACAAAGATTGTCATATGCGAAAAAACCAAACCGTTTCGTCGTGCAGCTGGAATCCGACAAATGTCAGAGCAGAAAGCGCAGACAGGCCCAGCAGGGCCATGACAGCGACAGAAGATAGCATATCCATGTTCGAATGGAGTGCTTCAACCACCATTTTGTCGGAAGAGAAAAGCACCTACAGTACAAAGAAATGAAGTGAATCTAATAAACAAGATACATGGAGCACACCTTCACAAACTGGCGCAGAGGACCTGCTACAGTGATATCAACGATTCTCTTAGCGTGTGGTTGCACACGCTGCCAGAAAGATTTGAATGCATCATAAACTGCAGGAGTAAAACCGCTGTTGGCGCCTAAACAAACGAATTCAAATTCCAAATTTGGTCTTTGTTCTACAATTGCAAATTATTGCAAAGCTTAAATATCTCCGATGAACCTAACTGGCGCACTAAGTAGGCATATATAGAAAAAATAGCAGTGACGATCTTACAGAAATCATTATGCTATTTTACGAGCTTGTGCATATGGAGTCTAGGTGAACGTTCTTGTCCTTCTATTTATTACAACTGTGTTCCTAGAAAGCTGAAGGGGTGTATTCAAGAGACGCGCATTTTTTGCCAGATGGACACCAAATACGCATTTTTGGTTCTAGCGTCATAGCCTTTCAAATTCGGGAGAAATGTAGATGTTTGTTGCATCGGCTGCTCAACCTTATTCTCTCGAAGTAAATTCAGAACATAAATGTTGCAGTCAAAAACCCGTGAAAATGCAACTAATGGTAATTTCGTGAATATTTCAACAAATTTCTCACCAATAGCCGTCCAACTCATGGTAGTAAGCTAGAACATGTTGTCTGGCATCTTTGAAAGACTTGCATAGCTCTAATTTGGGCTCTTGTATTGGTGGTCTGTGGAAAAAGCGCGCCTCTGGAGCGTCTCTTAGTCAAAGCGTCCAATAAAAAATGAGAACTGATTATAGAAATTGCAAAACATCAGCAGCGAACAATGTGCAAATGCCTGCTTACACAGCTTGGAAGTTTTAATAATGAATTCTGCAAACAAGTCGACATAAAAACATTCATTAACTGTACAACTATTTTGTCTCCCAGCTTTCAGTCTATTACATAGCAGACTATTGCGCAAATGTAGCTTGAACTCACCAGCTCTGCGGATGGCAGCGAAGAGAAAAGGAACCAGAACAAGCATCAGGGCAGAATCATGACGAACTAACCACGACAGCGCACACAATCCACCGGTAATTGAAATGAGTTTATCACCTTTGATAGCTTTGTCGATGGAAACGACAGAAGCGGTGTCTGCGTCCGCTGAAAAGCTAATGATCACAACGTTCTCAGATCAAGGAGACTTCCTACCTTCTTTACCTTCTTTTGGAGGCAATTCAGGCCACTCCTCTTCTTTGAGAAGTTTCACTTCATCTTCATTTTCTGGGGAACTTGCATCCGCAGAGGTTCTATCTACTTTCCAGAGGCCAGCTGATAATGCACCAAGTACAGCAGCCGAAGCTCCAAACACAGCTGCACGCAATGGACCAAAGTAGGAAGACAAGAAGCACAAGACGTATGTCCTAGAAATCCCTCACAAAATAAAAAAATTGGATTAATGTTAGCAAATGATACCAGATGGGCAAAGAAATCACTCGAGCCACTTTTTTATTCACTGTTCCTGGTTGCTGCACATAAATCCATGCTGCATATGCGCAGAAGTAGATAAGCATTATTGGGAATAGCTAAAACACCTACAACCTATACAGGATATGGTATCAATGGAAAAGGAAAAATTACCCATGTTTTGGAGAAGAAAGATACGAAGCCATCGATGAAGTTGTAAAAATAGCCGGCAAGGTTGATTATGTATACAAAGGTCCGTTCATAGGTAAGCATTTTCAGCACGATGTAGGCTATAACGGCTTGCAAACCGGTATGGCTGAAACAGTTACCCTCAGACATACCGAGAAATGGTGGGAAATGAAGACCATAACATACTGTTCATTGCTTTTTTTGACTTTTCTCATTTCGAATATCCAAACTGTACTGATATGTGACATAGGCAGAACACCTACCTCATAGCAGTCCTGTAAATGTAATCAGCGAAGTCTCGAAAACGGTAAAAAGGAGTAGTTACGAGTCCCTCAGCCAATGTTTGATTGTTATCCCGGAGGCTTCTCAACCATCCTACAGGAGATATATCATGACTCGGATACGAAAAAAGCCATAACACGTACTCTGGACTTTCTCGGTGATCTGCTTCTTGAATGGAAACAACACGGTACCAACCAATACGGCCCACATTATCGGTGAGAGGAACATGTACATCATTTTGTACAAAGCGTATAAGCCAGCGAGACATAGTCCAGTCTAAAATGCACAGATGCCATCTTGTCACATAGGAGTGAATCATTCAAAAACGGCGCACATCAAATGGCATGGCATGACAATTATTACATGGTTAAAAAGTAAAGACAAACGACTAAACGACTTGTCGAGCCATTATCCTAATAACGATCATCTGTCACGAGCCAATTACATTCACTAGTCTAGTCTGCCGCTTGCTTTTCCACCTGTCAAAGGCAGCAATCGCACGTAGGTCAGCTACCTACTCATATTGAACAGGATGAAACTGCATTTTCGGAATTGCATTTTGAGTCTTTACAAATTTGCAACGGCGAAAAGAGGCCCAAGAATCGAACTGTTATCAATTTCGAGATTTGAGTACCCTTAAGTCTTACAGATATGTCCGCCATTTTGACACGAAAAATTGATGAAAAATCGCCCTCGTGCCGCCAGAAGTCTTGCAGATAAGCCCTCCCATCAGATAAGTCCGCCTCCAGATAAGTCCGGACTTATCTGTAGAAGGACTTATCTGTGAGATTTTAAAGTAAGTATGCATGCTACAACATGATTTAATAACTATTTGCCTTTATGCTACAGAATAAAATGTACACAGCCCCGGACATGTTGACAGAAATTAATGATCCAGCTTAGTGTCTATGGACATAACGAAGGTTTTTAACCATCTGCCCGTGTTAGTATTTATCATGGCGCTTGAGCGACTGTTCAAGAGCACTCGACAAATGAAAAAAAAAGACTGCTCATGATTTCTCAATCAGTAATTATGCATGGAATTCTAGTGCTTGATGAGCTCTTAAAGGCACCGTCCACCCAAAATGGAGGTTGGCGAGATTATGATGGTATACTAGTGTGGGCCCCCACACTAGGCAAACCTCCAAGCTGCTCCGCAAAAGACTGCTTCTGGAGCGAGAAATCCGCTCCGAAAGTAGCAAAGTAGGCGGGACTTGCATGCTTTATCTCGCTTGCGCTTGCTGCAGAGGGTTCTCGAAACAGGGATTTTTGGGTGTTTCGCGGATTTTCGATTCCATATTCGAAATAAGGGCCTACAGAAGGCCTGGAATCGACAAAAACATGGAAGTCGAGAATTTGGGTGGACGGTGCCTCTATGGGTTTTGAACAGTAACGGAGGATTTACCTACTTCGTAAACCAAGATGAAGCCAATAGCTCAATGCTTTTAGAAACATGCACAAATTTCACAAGAGCTTAAGTGGCCTGTAGACCATTCAAACAGTGACTCAGTTAGTTTATGAAAATAGGGTGCATCTCCCCGGGAGGCTATGAACTTATAATAAAGAGCAAGCAAAATGACCTTGGCTCGTCTAAATAACCATGCGAAATTTCATTCCAAACTGAGTTAGATGCAGTCGAATGAGAATAGACTTACCAATACAAATACGAGAGCGTTGTAGAAGGCAAACTGAAGGGCTGTTTGTTGGTCTTTACTGGTCGCTAGACGATCCACCAAGGCATTGGAGGAACTTAGCCCTGCCATGGCGATGTTTCGAAAAAGCTTGGCTGGATTGGCTGGAATCACAAACTTTTGATGAATACTGCCAACGGTAAAAAAACTGTTTCATACGGATTTGCTGCACACTCATGAGATGTTGAATGGTTTGCTATGCACGATGTTGTTAGGGAGCACCTCTGCAGAAGGAGACGTAAACAAGATGAAAATCGATAGGCGGAGGCAGCGAACAAACAAGCTGCATGAGACTCGATCGAATCGTAAACAAGTGCGAGTGGCCTAGCCAAGGGCATGGCGATGCGTGGTTATTCAAATGATTCAGTCGATGATGACTCAAGCTGGCAGGCACGTTGTAGCAAAAAATAGTCGGGAGGAAATTTCAAACGCAGTGATTGATGTTGCTGACTGCTTGAAACCAGAGATTGGTCAATCGCTGGTACCATCACAGACTTACTTTCTAAACTTGACGTTAACATACCATAGAACCATGTACATAAATGTCAAGGCTCAGATTCCCAACTTCAAAATAATGGTATACTTAGGCTCCTGTGCAGGCGAGAGAAAAGAACCTTGGAATGATGAATGAAGTTGAAGTAGGTATTAACTGCATGGAAAAAGATGAACAAAAAGGGCCATTTAAGCTTTGCTATGGAGTGCTCAGCTCGAGATCAAAATTAGAAAAAAAAACCGTTTGAGGGAAAGATTGGCCAGATATTTGATACGTAGAGAAAAGTTCTTCAAAGCTATACTAGCAGTTTTGCAATTACTATATGTCAGCGGCGGTCGGCGTCAGCCATGCACCCAAATTTTTTGCTGTCCCATAACCCCGACACCCAAAAATTTACAAGGCTAACTTCAATTTCTACAAATTTAAAGATTTGAGTAATTACAAATGTAAAATCACTTGCAATTTGTACCACATAAGTCACAACTCTTGACATGAATCCATTCCAAAATATATTTGCAGTAGTGCATATACCGATGATAAAATTTCTCAACAAGCAAGGGGTTGGAGTTGATATTGTTCCAGCAATCATAAGGAGTATGATCAATGCAGGACAAAAAACAACAAAAAGGTAGGACTGAATCGCATGGACTTATGTACTTAAATGATATAGATATCCAGATAAAAGCAAAATTATTGCATTGACTAACCTGAAACTCTTTCGGCAGGCACAAAGCACAATACAGCACCGAGCTAATAACACTGCTTTCGTCTACTTTTGCACGTAAAATGCGAAACTCTTGCTGTAACAAAGCAAAAACTGCGACAGTCGTAAGTAGTGAGATGGATAGAGATGAGCCTAGCAAACAGAGCGAAAAGATTATATGAAGAGATTCAGGATGAATAAACGAAGCGAAATGTTAGCGAGGAAAAATATGAGTGAAAAAGGTCTAGAACCTCGCATCTTCGAGAAGTCACCCAACGGTCATTAGTGGACTGTCAGAAGGCTGAAAGTAACCACCAGCTGGCAGTAGCGATATCTCCTTCCATCCCCTTTGTAGGGGCGAAACGACCAAACATCAGAATGCGCAGCGCTGAATTGGAAAGCACGTGTGCGGGAGGGGATCAATATTTGTTGCTGCAACCTCGGTGTACGCGCACCACCGCCCTTTGTTTACGTTTTGCATGCGGACACATGATCGTTGGTCTTTTAGCGAAAAGTGGTTAAACAAGGCAGTAAAAACGTGAGATAATATTTTAAACGGCAACCTCTGGTCTTTGCGCGGCATATTCGAATAATCGGGAAATGAGGATTTTTTCCGGAGATGGTCAGTAAAATAGTGCGGAATTATTGTACAAATACATATCTATCTATATAGTCCAGAGGCTGTGCATCACTGCATACAGTGTAATAATGTCCTCAAGGGCGTGCGATTTTGGGGTGGATGGGTGTGGGCGGAAGGCAGATAAGGCAGACAGATACACGACTCGATGTCTTAGGTAAAATTTTGTAAAGATTAGCAAAAGCGACTTTACAGTGCTTACATTTTGCGCGCGTTGTCGCCTTCCGCGCGCCCCTCCCCCCGGGGGTACAGGACCATGGCTGCGTTCATATTGATTCGGATGTTCGGGATCAGTTTCAGCCCAGCGTTCAAACTGAGCGCTGTGCTGGAACTGTTCGCCAAAATCCGGATCAGTACAAACGCAACATACAGTCTGCCCCAAACGGGATCAGGCCGAACCATCGGCTGAAATTGCGCGCTCGCAGTGCTAGGGGTTTGCGCTGCAGACGCGCGCTGTCGCAGAGAGCGAAGAGATTGAGGAGAGAGCAGACTAGCCAGCCGCAGAAATGGCGCGAAAACCCTCGCGACGCCGACTCCCGCCATGCTAATTTTGGCCTGGTTAGGATTGGGGCAGACTATACATGTCGCCGGAAGTGAAAGGGTCCCGCGCGGACGATGCAGCAGATAGGTAGGTGCCAGAGTAAAGTTTAAGTTAAGTTTAAGCGAATATTTTGTTCAGCTTCGTTTAGCTGCAGAAGGTGCGCAGAATTAATGTCTGCTGCATAATCTCTACTGCTGCCAAGGCCTGCTTCAGTTGCAGATCCCGCGCAGAATCAACGTTAATTCTGGGCGCCTTTCGCAGCTGAACGAAGCTGAACAAAATATTCGCTTACTCTGGCACCTGGGAAACGGCCCTTTTGAACCGCTCGCCATCATAGCGCGCCTCTGATTGGTCAACATGTCCATTGCCATAACGAGTTAATACTCGTTCATTTTTGCACATCTTTCGTGTCCAACATGATGAGAGGGTTTTGGCAGAGGTATATTACATACTTCGAAGTTCGAACTAAGAATTTTCCCGTTGACTGTAAATGCGACTTGTTAACTTTGCCAGCGCCGCCGCACGCGGCGAGACGAGCGCCGCGCGCGAAGGGTTCAAAAAAGCCTACACCCTGGCACCTACCATACTCAGCGTGTGCATGTACTGGACTGTTTTGTTGCAGATGTCCGGCGGGACCTCCCGCTTTGGGCGACATATAGTCTCCCCGCGATTCTGGAACGTTTTCAGCTCTACAAGACCGCTTCGGGACCACTGCTCCGCATCATCGTCCTATAAACCCTAACTACAGTCGAGTAGATTTCCTGCTTAATATAATGTCCCTGCAGACGCGACAACGCTGAGGCGTCAATAAATGCCTTGTAAGTTCCCGAGCTAGTGTTTTCCAGTGTTTTCTTTGCTTATTTCATGCTTTTTTAGTTGATTCGTTGCTGATAAAGAGGAAAAGGGTGAGTTAAAGAGTTCTGTTTTCTGAGAAGTTCTATCATCGCATATTCACAGATATCCACGTGGACGCATTTCGCGTCAGCTTCTTGTCTATTTTCTTCATTTCCTTTTCTTCTGTCACTTCTTCTTTCAAACCTCCTCCTTCTTGTGAGGCGTTTCTTTGAACACTAGTTGGCTTGTCTTGCAGCAACTTCGGCTTTCATCCACAAGAAATAGCATTTCAATTAAGTACTTCATGTGATAAAGACAATAAGTCAATCGTAAAAACCCACTAGTGTTCAAAGAAGTACCTCACAAGAAGAAAGACACATAAATGACAAAAAAAATAAAAAGAAGCTGACGCGAATCGTTTCCACCTGGATATCTGTGAATATGCGCTGATAAAACTTCTCAAAAAACAGAAACTACTCTCTAACTTACCCTTTTCTTCTTTATCAGCAACGAATCACCTAAAAAGCATAGAATAAGCGAAGAAAACACTGGAAAACGCTAGCTCGGGAACTCGTCAGGCAATTATTGACGCCCCAGCGTTGTCGCGTCTGCAGGGACACTATATTGAGCAGGAAATCTACTCGACTGTACGTTTTCGTCCTATCATTTCTCGATTTCATTTCTTTCGTGCTTCATTCTTGATGTTTTCTCTTTTGCACATGCTCCTGGGGTGGAGAGCAAGAAAAATGATAGCTGGCAGCTGTCAATAACCAGCGCATTTCTTATCCTATCTCAGCCATCCATACTCGAAGTTAGAACATTGTCTAGTTCTAAGTCTTTGATTAGATTGAAGAGTTGAAATGATTTTATCAGGTTGAAAGTGGGTTGGTTGAAATCAGTGAGAAGGTGTTCCAAGAGTGAAAAGGTATTTTACATTATTTATTTGGCATTATCAAATTGCACACATCATTGAGCTGCGAGTGAACTTTCATAGCGTGTGATCCAATCTGTTAATTGAGGCTGAAATTCGCGCCTTGTGAGAAAAATAATGCACTGCCATACTTGGTAATAGCTTGCACCACACCCTCTTTCAACTCTGCAAATTCTGCATTTTTGCCGCTGACATTTTTTTCATCAACATTCTGCCACATTTAGCGCTTCGCGCCCTCTAACCAGTTGTGCTTGTTTTTATAGTGAACCGATAATTTAAACAGTGTAACAAACCATTAAAGATGGATAAAAGGATTTTTTCAGGTGTGTACATTACCCGCTAAAAGCAAAGCACAATTTACCAAGACAGGGAAACTTTACAACAATTGAGTTTGCCCAATGACCATTTAATCTTCTATTAAGGAGACAATTGGACATAGGACTTCAGCAGAAGAATCTCAAGTACATCAATGTTGATGGTTTCAACTGAGTTGAACATAAAATGAAAAAACAGCCTTGATCTGACGATGAGCAAAGTCAAATCAGTGAGCCTTCATTCCATGAAGAAAATGTAACAAATAGTATGAGCTCCTCTAGTGGTATGTATATTGGTCAAAATACGAGCCATTCCTTCTGGAGACCTCCCTTTACTTCTATTTTTCTCATTTTCCGACTTGAGATTTCTAAGGCAGTGGCGTTACGAAATTATTTTAGGCTTCGAAAATTTTTTGGATGCTTTCCGGAATTTTTGCAGGCCCATAACCCCCGCGGCAGTAAATTTTTTTTGCAAGACCTTTTTTTTGGAAAATATGTATTAAGTGATGTAGGCTACTCTCAAAAATCGCACTAACACATTCTCCACCTCCCGCCTCCTCGCCGCTCGGTCCGTCATTGCTAAAATTTGATGAAAACTGAGAGAGCCTGTGACTGGAGCATACTGATACAAGCTTGATTAAATAATTGCTTCCATTCCTCATAGCCTACCAAGAATTGTGCAAAGAATGAGCTTGAGCTTAGAGAGCGAATGTATCTTGGTTAAAAAATTACATAAAGCTTCCCCACATTCACCATATGCTAGTAGAATAATGTAGCTTTTTGAATCAAGTTGTCTTTTGAGGTTTTTCTTGGTTTTAGCGCAGAATTAGTAAACACTTCCTTACCAATGGTTTAAAATGGGGCCTCTGGCATACCATAACAGTTTTCTTCCAAAATGCTCTGATTTTTCGGTGCCAAACTTGAAAGAGCA